CATTAATTTTCATAATTAAATCAACAAAATAAATCCAAAACGAACCCAACAATAAATGCTGTAAAAACAAATAACCAATAAATAGTTCTTTGAATTCCAAAAAAACCCAAAATCAAACATAGACCAGCGATAATAAGATGTTTAGAAATCATCGAAGGCCATTCAAAACATAAAACAAAATTAAGTACCTTCTAAAATAACATTTCTTGTTCTTCAAAAAACAAAACGAAACAATGAATTTTTCAATTGGTTAAAAATCATACAATACTAATATTATAGATCGAGCTACATCCATTCTTTTTGTTGACTGTATTAGTGGCTCTCGGAAGCCGTTTCAAAAGAAAAGGAAGAATAGTAGGAAAAAAAACAACAACAATTATTATTTCTCATGTATTGCCACATATACAATAATAGGTTTGACTCATTTAGATAATAGATTGTTGTTTTTTTGTTTTACCAACCGAATGGTAACTATTGATGAGTTTTTTGAATCAAGTATCTATTCGGATTCTGATCATGATTCAGCATTAATGGAAGATGCTCATTCTGAGGTTATTTCATCATCAATAATAACAAATGGCTCATCATCATTGAGTGACGATGAAAGTTTTTCAATGGTTTTTAAAACAAAATCTGATCGAATTGAAGAATATTTAAATAAAAAAAATAAAGACAAATTAATTAAATATGCTAAAAAAACTGGTTTAATTAATATATTATATCGTAAACAGATATGGCCTTTAGTAATTCATCCACCATCTTATTGTACAGTAGAATATGATAATAATAAGAAATTATATTTTTGTCCAATTGATTATTATTCAGCAGGTATTTATTATTTATTAATTTGATTTTTTATTCTTATAATAAACAAATTTATTAAAATATTAGATACAAATCAAATTGAATCACATCGATTTTATGGACAAGTTAGAATAGATGTTGAAAGAACATTAAAAAGATTTCCACCGAGTATAAATATTTTTAAACAAATGATTAGTCTTTTTATTTTGTTTATTTAAAGATTATTCTGATTCGGATAGAATTGAATTACAAGAAGAACTTATTATAACCGTTATCAAAATTTTAATCAAACATGATTATCTTAATTATTATCAAGTAAACTATTTAAATGAATAAAATATTTATTAGATTTTTTATTTTTGCATAGGGTTATCATGATATTTGTTTGACATTTTTAATTGTACTCGGTGCAGATTTGTGTCTTCCATTTATTGATACAATAACTAAATCACATTTCAAGTAAATTTTTGTTTAATATTCATAATTAGATAATATTATTATTTCATATTGAATTTTTTTAATTTGTGAAACAATCTTTAAGTATACAATGAGATCTTTATGAACATTAAATGAAACATATTAGAGATATTAAAAAAAAAATCTAAGTAGTATCTCATAATACGATTTCATAAAGATTTCTATTAAAAATCTTTATGATTTAGTAGAGAAATAATATCTTATATAGTTAAAACAATTGGTTCTCAGGCAAAAGGCACGACATTAGAAGTCTTGATTTTTACGAAACATAATTTGACTATATATATTTAGATTGTTCTATAGTTTGTCATGGCTTTAAACTAGTAGCATAACCAAGGGGAAGAATGAAAGACCTAATGAGAGAATTACTCGAGCTGATTCCTATCTTTTGAGCTCATATAAGGTTCAGAAAGAGGTCTCAGTAAGATGAAAATAATTCATGATCATAGACCTCGGGAAATGAGTTCTGATTATTTTATTTAATATTCAACGAGTGTTCTGTAATGGGATTCAATTTAACCTCATCAATCAATAAAAATTCGACGTTTCAAAACATTTTTTACTTCTGCAAATTGCTAACTTATATAAAAGTATAGAAATGAATATAGGTTCAATCATGATTAAGCAATTTATTGTACTTGAGAATAGACTACAGAAGCAGAAAGTGATATTAAGTTTACTTAAAAAATTCGTTTTTAATGAAAATTCATCTGCAGATGATAACGAACGATACGACGAAGTCACTGAATATATGAAGAGAAAAATGAATAATTATCAAAAAGGTGAACATGTATCATCGTGATGGAAAAACTATTTATGTATGTATCCATAATAATGGCATTTTGGCACCAAGACTTCATTTCATTCCAACATCATCAGCAACAAGCAAACGTATTATTAACGAAATTGATCGGATTTTAGTAGCAGAAATACAGCAAGTGAATCATAAATCATCTTCTTGGTTTGTCAACTTTGAGATGATCTCCTTTTTCTTTGTTCTTCTTTATGGAAGAAACTAAATAGAATACTTTTTCGTATCAAATAAAAATTTGAAAACTGTACTGTGACTGTGAAAATATCTACCAAACGTCGATTAATCTAGGTTTAGTTTCTGTCGCGTTGATCCAACTTTAGGTTTTTATCGACAAATCAAAGAACGAAATTTCGATCTGAAATTTTGCCCATAGATAAATCTGATCACTCTAGTGCATATGGATGAGATCTCAGGTCGAAATTCTCTTATTTGGTTCTTCAGTTAATATCTAAAGCTGGATCTAAAAATTCAATAAAACGATCATAAATGGACTCCAGAGACCGATGTACACGAACCCTTTTCGGATTTTTTTTGTCTTACCGAGACTTCATTGTGAGTCAAATATGAACTCAAACGACAGATATCAGTTCGGATTCACTTTTCGTAAGCTAAGTAGCTAACGTGTATTACGTGCTTTTCCTCTCGACAGACCTTCCTATTGTCGAAATCCAAATCATCTCACTATTTTAAACTTATTTTGAAGCCATGTCTAACTACCAAGTATAATAAAAAGAAAATAGCTATTTAATCTTCATTTTTATTAACCTATTTCATACTGTTTAGAAGCTGTGAACAATCGAGTTTTAATAGTAAAAATCAGAACTAATTTTCAAACTTGAAATTTAAATTCAACGATTGAAGATTTTTGGAATATGTAATTGTTCATGTGCATATTTTCATGTTATTCTTACTGAGATAATATCTGAAACGAATAAATGGATTAAACCGTCAGTTTTAGAATATATGAAGATTAAGTACACATCTACCTCAGTCGTACAAACAGATTTTAAAGTTAAAAGGTATGACATGTGTACTTGTGTTACAAAGCATTTAATATCAGTATCCGTTTTAGATTATTATAGTAGCATACATTTGTCGATTTATTTTACTAATAATAATGATATATTATTTATATATATATATAGAGACTTTATGGGACCAACAATGGAAAAAACACGAGATTTACTGTCTTATCTAATGCCACTTATCAATTGTATCAATAGTGAATGTGCTGAATATATGCAAAGGTAAACAAAATCATTCTTAATTGTCTTCATTAAATATAATTTATATTTCCTTCGAGTATAAACCGATCTCATTTTTTTTTTAATTTGAAAACACAATATTTTTTAGAAAATATAAATTGAAGAATTAGAATTTGAAACGAATTGGAATTCTAGACTATAATTTCATTTCATTTCAGAGGTGGTGTTGGAAATGTTATGTTTGCTTTATCATGGTTCATCACATGGTACTCACATGTATTGGATGATCTTGACATAATTCTACGACTTTATGATTTATTTATTGTTTCACATTTTCTTATGCCAATATACGTAGCTGCTGAAGTAAATTATTTATTTTTTTTTTTTTTTTAAGTTGAAAAGAAACATTGGTTTCTTTTTGTTTATTAGATTGTTAATTTTCATGCGGATCAAGTTTTATCAATTGACTGTGATATGCCTTCATTACATCAATATTTAACACGTTTACCCAGTGAATTAGATAGTAATAGTTGGGAAGAAATTATTAATAGATCATTACATCTATTCCGAAATCATCATCCAGATACACTTGATGTATTAAATGATGAATGGATAAGAAAATGGTAAAATATTTAAATAAACCAGTTTTGTTGTCTTTTGTGAAACATGATCTAAAAGGAGTGTTGAAGAGTATGCGAGTAAAAATTTGAATCGACTCTCACAATTCTTGAGAAACGCTACTTAGAGACCGGTCGAAAATTTTTCAACTTTTTCGATTCGGTTATAATTCTACATGACAACCCATGACAAACATTGATATACGATGTAACACCGTATATGCATAACCTCTAGTTATAATATATGAACTACTTCCTTATAACATCTCTGGAGAATGAAGAAAGATATCTCAAAACAGATAAAATAAAACTATCACTCTTTGATTAACAATAGCAACTAGATCATACTGTCTATTTTATTTCTGTAGGGATTGCACTAAGATTTTATTTTTTAATAAATCTGTGTTTTAGTGAATTTATTCAAAACTCACCTATGGAAACATCTATTCGACGGCGATATGGTACAGATTCATTTGAAAATGACAATAATCATGAAAGATCTTCGGATATAAATGATCGAAAAGAACAACAAGGTGCATTGCCACGTATTGTTCTTTGGGGTGTGACACTAACGATAAGTGGTTTAGCTATTTATATATGGAATCATACCCAAAGAACAGATCCAGCGGCATTTATTAGTCTCGGAGATTTTCTTGCACAATTATATGGAAAATAAATCGACTTGTCTTACTTTGTTAACTTTGCTATATTCATTCCCGAACTCTAGTCGCTCTGTTATATGTGAACACTATTGTCTTGCTTTATATGTATATAGCGTTATGAAAAAGAAATCAAGAAAAAAAATTAATCGATCTATTCTTTTGTGTATATTGGATAATAACTATTTTCTTTTGTTGTTCTCTTATATTTTATATGCATTTAATGGAAATTTTTTCGTTTTTTCTTTGTTTATTCAACCTTTATTTTTCTCTATTGTTGTTGTTGTTGTTGTTGGTGGGTCTTGCGCATTGAACCAAGAAAAATAATTAACATAAATTAATCTATACTTGCAAGAATATGAAAATTATTTCTTTCTAGATGAATCTCGTCTGATCTGATTTATTCATTTTTCTGTTGGTAATAATGGACATAGTCGATCCTCCAACTGAAATAGTTCATCAAGAACAAACAATTGAATTAAAAACTGATGATTCAACAGAGAATGAATCAACAAATCATACTCCAAATATAGATAAGACTGGTGAGATTTGATTTATTAAATGTATTTTTTATTCTATTGTTTCGATAGATTTGGAGCTAGGGGTATTGTTATAAAATTAGCATTAGGATTTATTATTACCAAAACTAACGCTTTGATATTATTTGCATTAGAATTAAGTAATGTCAAGCTGTGAGCATTAGATAAGCATTATTTTTTATTCTAATACATAGATTACTGACGACTAGATCTAGAAAATGTTAAGCTCAGAAATTTTCAAAATTAAACAATTTATTTTCGTTTTTGGGAATATTACTTCCGGCTATAAAAAAAAAAGCCTTTGTTCTGTTATCACCAACTTCTGAACATGAACTCTCAGAGACATAGTCACAGTAACATATGTATTAGAATTAAAAATAATGCTAACAGTCTGACATTACTGAATTCTAATGTAAATAATACCAAAGCATCAAGGTCAATTCTAATTAGATTCGAACTGATTCGTAATTCGTGAGATAACAGAGTCAGATCAGTTCGAATCTAAAAAGAACAAATGTCATCATTCGACTCAGTACGGTGATTTATCGATGCCAAGTTATCTTTCCAGAAGATCACATATCAATTTACTAAAATCTAGGATCGGACGAAAAACTCTCATAACTCTTGAACGAAACAAGCTTAAAATGTCGGTCTTGTGTAGAGAGAACGAGAAGAAAATTTTCTCCCAGTTAGTTTTATTAGATGTCTAAATCAAAAGAGAAATAGTTTCAGAATATAGTTTTTAACCATCTCTACCAAGAATTCATTTGATTGATCAATTGCTGATCAATCAAATATCGATAGAGCTCGATGACTCTGGATATTTTCTGAAGAATAGCAAAAATCGCAGATTTCTTTAATGTTTTTATCGAAGATTATCCAAAAAAAAGAAACCAATCTCATCTCTAGTAAGTGCTGAAATAAAATAATAACATATAACAGATACTTTGTATCAATATTATTGAATAAATCAATAAGCCTAATTTTTTAATTATTTGTTTTTCTTTAGAAATTATTCCATCTGATGTTCCATTAAATCCTGACCAAATAGAAATAGCTCGTCTTTCATCTATAATCAATACTCAAACAAATGAAATATCTGAGTTAAATGCACGTGTTGTTGCATGTCAACAACATTATGAAACATTTCTAAGTCGTCAAAAAGAAGAATATTCACGTGAAAAACAATCAACTGTTATGCGTTATGCTCAAGCTGAAAAGTCAAAATTAGATTCGGATAAACGATGTGAAATTTTAGCAACAAAAAATCATGATTTATTAAAAGAAAAAGAAAATTTACAAATAAAATTATCAGAATTTAAATTAATGAATACGAAACTACAACAAGCCTATGAAAATAAATTAAGTGAATTAACAATAACAAAAAAAGAATTAGAAAAAATCAAAGAATTAAATCAATCAATTGATGCTACTTTAAAATCAACATTAAATCATTTAAAAGGAGAATCATCACAATTAAAAGAACAACGAGAATCAAATGAACGACTAAAAAAAGAATTAAATGAACAACATGAACTTAATGAACAATTAAATATACAATGTAAACAACTTACAGAAGGTAACTAAAAAGAGCATATTATTAGGAAATGTAGAATTTGAGTCATGCTCATAGAGTAGTTCAATAAAAAATACAAAATTTCATGAGATTAAGAGACAGAATGAGTGAAATTTCTGGTCGTTTTACTTTACGAGTAATCTTCTGTGTTTCTCATAAAAATGTTAATTTCAAGTGAGTTATATGATTTCCAAGATCCAAGTATCCTATTCAACTAATGATAAGATTTCAACAATTTATTAGTGGATTTCTTCGATACAATTGTTAGCCATTTCAAAAAAACTCTTTCACATGTATTGGATTGCTAAAAATACGAATTTATTGTATTTTATTCTAATCCAAGACCATTGTTGAACAACTAATCTGTAGATAAGAGTTTGTGAGTAAATACATGTAAAACCTGTATCCAGAGATAAGCATTACTGACATAAACACATAATATAAGTATTTGCCACAAGTCAAGACGGATTTTGTAAGGATAAAGTTTTGAATTAACGAGTTAGCTTATTTCGTTACTTCTTACATTCTCATACTTCGCTTCAAACATATCTTACATTAAACTATTCATCCTTTGATCCGCACTGTTATATATTATGATGCATGGACTCTCAGAACTATACAGGTATTTGATCTAGAAAACTAGAATTTGAGATTTTCTACTATGTGCTGTATAGTTATGCCAGTACAAATATAACTAGATGCGAAAAAAAATCGAAAAATTTCTAATAAAAGAACAGAAGCTTTCAGCTCTATGAAAACTAAAAGAATATCAACTCATAAATTATTTGTAGTTCTTCTAATTTTTTTTTTTTTTTGATAGTACCATGGAAAAATAAAATAGACACCGACTATTTGCCGAGACATCATAAGTAGCAGAAAAAGTAAAAACTAACGGATCCGTGTCAGTCTTCTGGCACTCTCTACAACCTGAGAATGCTTTTTTTCTTACAATGGAGGTGTTTGTAATGTCCGTGAGAAAAATGGGATATATTCGGGTCAAATGAAAGCTCTCACCGAGAAACTAACAAGGTTAAAATATTAGCTGCCCTTGGCTTACCTAGGGGACGATATTCGATTTTTCAGGAGATTTTCCCTGCAGGACCCCAGGTTTCCAGCAAAATCATATTTTCGAATTTCGACCTGAAACTTTGCACACATGAAGGCCTCGACTAGACTAGCTTACAAAAAAAATTTTAGAAGTTTTGGATAATCTCTCACCGAGATATGAGTTTCTCAAAATATAGACGCTTTTCCATAGATATTTTATATTTTGAGAAATTCATATCTCGGTGAGAGATTGTCCAAAACTTCTAAAATTTTTTTTTAAAGCTAGTGTAGTCGAGGCCTTCATGTGTACAAAGTTTCAGGTCGAAATTCGAAAATATGATTTTGCTGGAAACCTGGGGTCCTGCAGGGAAAATCTCCTGAAAAATCGAATATCGTCCTCTAGGTAAGTCAAGGGCAGGTAATATTTTAACCTTGTTAGTTTCTCGGTGAAAGCCTTCATTTGACCCGAATAGATCCCATTTTTCTCACGAACAGTACAAACACCTCCATTGTTAGTTGTACTTTTCTATCAGAATTTAGTTTTATAGAGCTGCATGAACATCTACAGATCTAACTATAACAGTGTTTAAATGAAAACTTTTTATTCTTTTATAATGAGTTTTGAGTGTTTTTTTTTTCCGTTAGTCCATCATCGGTAGTCTGTTGTTAATAAAGATGATAGGTTCTTTCTTTTACATATATATATATATAAACAATTGCTTTGTTTTAGCTGCTCAAGCAATACCAACTGATGATGAACGTGCACAAGCATTTGATGCATTGCTTAATGAACATAATGCTCTTAAAGTAAAATTAACAAATGTTCAAGATGAAAATAAATTATTTCGTGAAAAACTTAAATCATCTGATGAAGATCGTTTAGCATTAGAAAATGTTATTGAAAATTTTCGTCAAAATACTTTACGTGAAAAAGATACAAAAAAAAAATTATATGATGATTTATTAGCTGCACGTGAACAAGATTCTGTTGAAATATCACGATTAAAACAAATTGAACAACTTTATAATCAAACATTAGCTGATAATGCTGATTTACGACAATTACTTGAAAAAGAACATCAATTACTTGAATTAACACAAAAATTAACAGAAAAAAATTCTATTTTACAAAGTGATTATGAACAACTTCAAATATTATATAAACAGACATTTTCAGATTTTGAAAATTTTAAAAAAACTAATGAAGAACAAAATAATCAAATCATCAAATTAGAAAATATTGAAAAATCTTTAAAAGATCAATTAAAAGAATTAGATGAAAAATATCAAACATTAAATAAATCATACGAACAAAGTATAAAACAATATGATGATAGTCTTAGAGAAATTCAAACATTGAAAAAAAAACATCAAGCTAATACAAAAGATTTAATTAAACAATTACAACAATTACAAAAACTGAAACCTACAAATAATAGTAATGAACAATCACCTGCTTTACTTACTTGGTAAATAATTCTTTTTCAAATTTTCACTAATAATGCACAAATATTATTCTATCCAAATTTATTCTTTAAATTTTTGAATTCCTATCACTCATAATATACCTATGTCATACTTATACAATAGAAGAAAAGTCAGTAGAAGAGCAAACTAATAAAAATTAAACTAGTTAAAAAAAATATTTTGACAGAAAGAAAGCAAAAAACGAACGTAGATAATTACGATCTTGAATAAAATTTATTTTTTACGAAATATGCTAAGTATATATATGTTAGCGTCCAATGTCGGATTCAGTCCAATCTCGGATTGGCCTAGGCGAAGCACGGATGCTTACATTGGACTAGTCCAATATCAGATTGATGCAATTCGGTTCACTGAAATATCAATTACTCTTGAGATAGATGTTCGATTCGAATTACTTTTTGAAATTATGTTCACACAATGCCAATTTGTTTGTCACTATCGTTGTTGGAAAGATTTAAGTAAAAGTTTGGGAGTTATGAATAAATTTCTATAGAACAACAACTTTTATGAAAAGTTGTTATAAAATTCTTCAGTCTAAATTTGGCTTCTTCTTGAATACCTGCAATACTTAAAATGGCACCGTGCGAACATACTTAAAAAAAAATAATTCGAATTCAACGTCTATCTCAAGAGTAATTGATATTTCAGTGAACCGAATTGCATCAATCCGATATTGGACTAGTCCAATGTAAGCATCCGTGATTCGCCTAGGCCAATCCGAGATTGGACTGAATCCGACATTGGACGCCAACATATATATATCTGAATAACTTTTAAACATTGATTATATTTTGATAATTTAGTCAAACAAAATCTATTACAAATAAAGAGAATTCTAATGATAATATATCAAGTCGTGGATCACCAACAGGTTCATATAGTTCATTGAACGAGATTACTGCTAGTTCTGTGTCAACACCTGATCATGTTCCATCTCATCCATCAATTTATCATCATCATCATCATCAACAACAACAACAACAACAGCAACAACCACAACAACAACAAGTTTTACCTGATGAAGAACAAGAAGTAGTTGTTAATATTGTTGATATTGATCGTCAAAAATTAATTGATAAATTATTAAAACAACAAAAATTACTTGTACGACGTAATGAAAAAATCGAATTTTTAAATGATCATATACAATTATTAACACAAGATTTACAAAATAAACGTAAAATAATTCAAACATATGCAATGAATGAAGATAGTTTTATGTATACATCAAATGAATCAGATTTAATTAAACAACAATTAGCAAATAAAACTCGAAATTCATCATCATTAATGGCAACATTATATAATCGTGCAACAACAACTGTTAATCAAACAACAAATAAACTATTTGATCAATCATCACCAATGACACTTGAAACAGCATTAGATATAATGGGAAAATTACAATCAGTTTTAGAAGATACACTTCTAAAAAATATAACATTAAAAGAAAATGTTGATACATTAAGTAAAGAAATAGAAAGATTGTCAAGACGAACAATAAACTAGATCTTGTTTTTTTTTTTTTTGTTTTTATTCTTTATGGATACTGTCAGATTTCTTTATTTATTTTTTTTTTGTTTTCGTCGTGCAACAGTGGAATTATTAGCTGTATTATTATAAATATATGTAAAATATATTTATGCTTTATTGCTTCTTAACAAAAAAAAAAGAAATATCAATTTATTTGTTTCGTTTTGTTTTCTTTTTTTCTCAGATAAAACAATGCCAATTGTGAAATCAACTTCAACAGTAAGTGAATCAACAACAAATGAAGCACGTGAAGCACTTGATTGTCTTCATGAATTATCACAATTACTTAATACTGGTTTAGATAAAAAAACATTAACTGCATGTGTTAGATTACTTGAAGCTGGTGTTCATCCTGATGCACTTGCTCAAATTATTCAAGTTCTTAGAACAGAAACACGACCAACCAAACTTTAATTTCATTTATGATATAGATTCATGTTTTTTTTGTATAAAGTTCTTTATTACATTTGATAAATATGAAGAAACATTTTCTCTATCTTGTTTAATATTTTTAATTATTTTAATTTTATCTGAAATCATATTTCGCATCTAAAACTCTTTGAAAATCCTATTTTAAATATTGTTTAAGAGAAAGAATATCATTTAAAGTAGATTTTTAAATAAGTCTAAATTTAAGTAGCAGGTAGTATTATATTTTTTATCATTATCATTCTTAATCAGAAAAATGATATAAAATTAACAAAATAATAAATTTTCATGGTATGATCATTGTAATTGAAATTTTATTATAAAATCAATCTATTATTAGTTAAAGACATATTGATTGTTATTCTTCGAAGTAGAAACACTAGTAAATAGAAACATCGTAGAAAAAAACAAAAAGTTTATAGTTACATTATATTATTTTCTCACTCGCAACTATGAATCTATTCCAGTGCCACAGCCAAAATATTAGGCTGGGCGGAGGAGGAGAGGACTTAGCTTCTTGTAAACATTCAAGTTCACCTTGGCGAGGTTTCCAAAGTCCTTCGCTGAGAAGCGGAGTCCTCTCTGCTCCTTGCCTTGGCTCCGTCACTGATCTATTCGTGTTATCTTAAAATATTCACCGACAGATGAATAAAATCACTCGACAAAATCCGATGGAAATCCATTCGACGAAATTAACAGAGTAGGAATTCGGTATATATCTAATTCAATGCGACACCGAGATTGTCTTGTCTTTAAAACTTTCAAGTTTACCATTGCCTAGCCGAATAAGTCATGTGTCTGACCACACATATCTATGAATATTAATTCATTCATGAAAGTAAACTAGTCAAGGAATAATTATATAAAGATGGCTCAAAAATATGAGCTTGTCATGTAAAGTCGATATTTAGAGTTGATTTTTTTGATCTTCCTTTATCACATTAGTCTTCATTTATTTCTTACACACCTAATTACTATTCATTTCATTAATACTAGATTCTAATACTAGAGATTCGAATATGATTCTTGCACCTGATTTTCAACTATATTCCTACAAGAGACTACTGAATTTTATACAATGCTAGTAAGAAATGATAAGATTCAACGGTCGGATTGGTTCTCTTGGGTTATTGAAACAATATAATATGATTACTTTTTATATTTTGCATTCAAATACGATCTCTGAATAGTTATATCAGTACATTTACATAATCGAATTTTCTTTACACAATGAATGTCTCTTTAATTTTGCTTTCATTCTTGGTATCTATAAATCAAGACATGTTTTCTTTCTAGATATCATTTTGAACAATATCAAGAGCCCAAAGAACTAAAGTCATTTTTCGATTTTTTAAAAAAAAAATTAATCATGAAGCCATTATCATCTTACCATTCAACATCAACTGAAGTGTTATTAAAACGTTTTCGTTTATGGAGACGTCAATATCTTCATGTTGTTATTTACACATCATTATTTTGGATATTCGTTGATGTATTTTTTATAATGTTATTTTCTGATTGTACAAAAGAAATTATTATTCCGTGTTCATCATCATCATCATTATCAAGTGATAAATCTTCTAAAATGAGTGATCGTGATGTTCAATTACATCCAAAAATAATTATTGATAAAATAAACCAAAGAAAACACAATATAATCGATAATACAACTATGATTGAAACAACAAAGAAAAGTATTGCTAGTAAATGGTGGAAAATTGATCCAGGTTTAAATTTCATTTAGATTAGAAAAGAAAAATAGAAAAAGAAATATCGATTTTGTGCTTTCTATAATAGGAGCAACAAATCCAACGAATTGGCATGGTGAAGCTGGTCGTGCTGTTGTTATTCCAAATGACTTAAAAGCAGAAGCTAAAAAACGTTTTGCAGAAAATCAATTTAATATTCTTGCTTCAGATCTTATAGCTCTTAATCGATCAATTAAAGATCAACGATCATCAAGGTTTTATATTTTATTTCAATTTATTTTTATTTACTTTTCTTTCTATTTAGATGTTTATCACATAAATTTCCATCTGATTTACCATCAACATCAATTATTATTGTATTTCATAACGAAGGTAATTCAACATTACTTCGAACATTAACAAGTATTATTTTACGAAGTCCTATACAATATATACATGAAATAATCATGGTTGATGATGCTAGCATTGATCGAGGCAAGATTGATTTACTTATTTCGCTGCCTTTTCTCTTATATTGTTTGTTTTTTACTTATAGAATATCTTAAAGATACATTAGAAGCATTTACTAAAGAATTACCTGTTTCAGTTCGTATATTAAGAAATACTAATCGATTAGGATTAATGAAATCTCGTTTACGAGGTAAATAGAATAGAAATAAAATAAAGATAGAACAAATATATTTGTTTAATTAAAAGGTGCTGAAATAGCTAATGGTGAAACATTAACTTTTCTTGATGCTCATATTGAATGTTCACCTGGATGGCTTCAATATTTATTATATGAAGTTAAAAAAGATCGGTATGTATTAAATATAATTTATTAAGCAGATATTTATATAGACATAATTCTGAGTTAGTTTTCATTTCTATGAATTTATTCTATTTGTAAAAAAGAATCATTTTCTGGTGATTAAATTTTATCTAACTATCATAGCAAGAATTTCGCTCTTTACTAATTTTTGGCAAAAGATTAGTGGATTTTCGCCAGTTATCGTAGAGCTGTATGAATGCAGCATAGCTGTTAGAACTATATCTAATGCTATTTAAATGTAACTTGTCATTGGCACTTGGCGTATGTTCAGATCATTGATGACCATTGCAGTTGAATACCTATCGCTGCCGTGACGCGGTGAATTATATAAAACGTTGCTGCTATCGCGATGGTATTGTTGAAGCATGTTAATAAATTTGAAGATGAATAGCATAAATCTGATTTTGGAAAATCATTTTTGTTTGTTCTCTTTTCTTCTCCGACAAATCGGTTTATCAATCAGATGATAAACAGATATTACTGCATTAATGTACAGTCTTTCTTTCAAGTTCAAAAAGTGTAATCATTTTTCGATCTGCATAGGTTTACGTGCTGTTGCATGTGTTGTGACTAGCATTTATTCAACAATAAGTACTTGAAATATTTCAATAAATAAAATATATGATCAAGACATAGAGGAACAGCATATATGAATATACTTGATGTAAATCTCCGTAATCAATACCAAAGAGGTATTTGCATTGCCGAATTCAGTGGATTTTCTTCATTGTTGGCGAAAGTTTAGTGAACTTTGTGTATTTCATTATGACAACTATAAATCTATCATGATACTAATTATCAGTTTGTTTGAATTACTGAATGCCTCATTTTCATCTATTCAGATGAAATTAATACTTGAGTAAACGTAAATTATAGTGGTGTCCAGTCTCAGTAAACTATTCACCGAACATTCACACTAACGTTCACTGAAGCTGCGGATCGTTAGATTAACCTGATTGATAAATGTCGATCTACTAGTAACTAACTAGTTTATATACTGAAACTTGATTGTATGGTAGACTCAAATTAGTGGCTAATGTATACCATGAATCTGGAAAATATGAACAATTTTTTGAAAATGTTCCATATGCAGTTTTTCATTAAAAGTAACAGTGCAATAGAATATTGACATATTGAATTAGATGTTATCACTCTATTCATTATCTTCTTTCATATTTTTGCATCTCAAAAAAGCATCCAGTTTCGTGATTGATAGAACTAATTTCACTAAGAGAGTTTTTTGACTTATTTCTGAGATTAGTTGTTGTTAAAAGAACGAATCAGATCTTGTTCGAATATATATATTATTCTAAGGATATCATTGTTGTCTAGTTCAAGAATTAATTTATTTCGCCACAACGACTGTTTAGTTTAAACTTCGTGACATAAATCACAGATGGAATTGATCTAGTGATCTTTGATTTAGTTCTCATAGCTGATTGAATAGTGAAATATTGATATTCATTTTTAATGAATCGAAGAATTGAGGAATAAATTAGAATCGAAGCTAAAATTGAGTTGTCGGGATATAGGAAGTTCAGTATAGTAAGATTTTATTACAGTATAGGAAAAAAATACTTGAATTAAATTGCAAGATTAGATGTTTTTAATCATTTTAGAACAGCTGTCGTATGTCCAATTATTGATGTTATCAATGATAATGATTTTGCTTATTTAACCGGTAGTGATATGACTTGGGTGCGTTGACATAAAAAATAATTATGTAATGTTAAATTTTTTGTTTATTTTTTAAGGGTGGATTTAATTGGAGATTAAATTTTCGTTGGTATCCAGTACCACAACGAGAAGAAATTCGTCGAAATTATGATCATTCTTTACCATTATTGTATAATTGAAATATTTATAACATTGTTTTTTTTTCTGAATTTGTTTTTTTTTTTAAATTAAATAGATCTCCAACCATGGCTGGTGGTTTATTTACCATAAATCGTGCTTATTTTTATGAAATTGGTGCTTATGATCCAGGTATGGAAGTATGGGGTGGTGAAAATTTAGAAATGTCATTTCGTGTTTGGCAATGTGGTGGAAAAGTTCTTATTCATCCATGTAAGAAATATTATTGAAACTCAACATGATATTTCTAATGGAATAATTCTTATAGGTAGTCATGTTGGTCATGTATTTCGTAAACAAACTCCATATACATTTCCGGGTGGTACTGGTAATATTATTCATCACAATAATAAACGTCTTGTTGAAGTATGGCTTGATAAATATAAAGATTTTGTTTATGCACTTATGCCTGGTTTGTATTTACTGAAAACGAAAAGAAGATTTTGATAGATTTTTATTTGTTTGTTCTCTCGAAGAACTAAAACGTGTAGATGCTGGTGATGTATCAGAACGTCTTGCACTTCGTGAACGTCTTAAATGTAAAGATTTTCAATGGTATTTACGAAATATATATCTTGAAAGTTCAATGCCTGTTGATTTTTATCATGTTGGAGTAGTAAGTTTAACTTTATGTTTTTCGCGTAAAATATTTTCAGTGATTTTCAAAATCGTGTTGAACTTCTTCTTACATATAACTCCTATCTTTCGGATGAATAGTTAAAAAATGAAGTGCATGAATGTGTCAATTCACTCGGATTTAACAGTGATAATGGAATTAATGAAAATACAGGCATTTTACCTTGTCAGAATCAAAATCCGAATCAGGTGTGTATATTAATCTTTGTTTTTTTTTTATCTTATTTCAGATACGTATCGATTCAATGTTTTGCTTGACTCTTCATAATGTCTACAGTAGTCAAGGGGCGAATCGTACGGCTACATTAAATATACAAAAATGTATTGATCGAACGCATTCGCCCATGACTGCTGCTTATCAGGTGCGAAAATAAAGCATGCTTATAAAAAAAAATTGTACTATTGCATGATCATGTTGATTTTGTTCTTCAATTGTTGATGAATGCATTAGTTATGAACAAATAGGACGATGTAATTCTAGTATAAATTATGTGCACGCAAAAAAATTATTGAAAATGTATTTCTCTTGAACAAGATTGAACATGAAGGATGTAATTAATTTAGGAAATCATGCTATTGACTGATAGAGTCTATAGAATGTATTGATAAATTTAGTCAATATATGTTCTTAGATTCAATAAGCTCTCTCTGCCGTTTCATGCACTTTTTGTCTTGATATATAAGAGTAAAAGATGCTAGAACAATGTCGCACATGTTAATCTATTGAGAATTTTATTCGCTCGATGTTTTTTTCTTCAATCGAGTTATTCTAGTCATATCTCTATATAAAAATGATTTGCTTTCATCATTATATTTGATTTGTACAAGACAACAAAAAATTGATTTTATTTAGATTTTGGTTTATTCCAAGAAAGGTGAACTTCGTTTTGATGATATTTGTATCGAACCTAGTCCGGTTAATATTGTTAAATTACAAAAATGTTCACAAGAAAATCAAAACCAAATATGGGATTATAAGAATACAGTATGTTTAATTTAGTTTTATTTAATACATCAAACAAACTTTTCATCTAGACAAATCATATGATACATATTAAATCTGGACAATGTCTGACTACAGATAAGACACAAAGTTCTGATCGATTAATTCTTAGTAAGTCGAACTAAAAATCAAAGAAATATTGTTTTGAAAGATAAAATTATATTTTAGCTCCTTGTGAACAGAACAATAATGCAAATCAACGATGGTATTTGGAACAATCAGTGTTAACCTAGTTATATTTTAATCTGATACTCTTCTTATGATTTTTTGTTTTTATTTAGTTATTAATTACTCATTTTTTTTTAATATTTATTCTTTCCCTTTTATCTTTTATTACATTTGAAATACGTTAATCATGTGCTATGAATAACATTCCATATGTCTCTTTTTAAATCATTTGTGAATTTGATGAGATTCTCTAGTCGAGCGTTGCAATCTCTTCCTATATTGCTTATTATTTTAAATGAATTTCTTGAGAAAGAATGGAACATATACTTGGTTTTTATTTTCTTTTTTTATTGTTATAAAAATATTTCGATTGTTATCTCAACTATGATGATCATTGAAGAACTCCGTATTTTTACCATTTTGTCTTCCAGCATTTCATATTCTACTTGTTCACAAGTTTTCTTTTTTGTTCTCCTGTTGGTTTTTGAATAAAATATATAAGTTTATTAAAAGAAAAAAGATAATCTGTGAAAACAAGAATTCCAAAAAGTAGACGTTTAGTTCAATATTTTAATAAAAATCTTTTCTACAAGGTAAAATCCTCCATTAATTATTTGATTAGTTAAGATATTGGAACTTTAGTTAAGATATATAATCGAAAATATGTCGAGCTTCCTGGTTACTCAACTGAATATCAATAGAGACTAAAGTTAAAAGAGCTTTTTTTTGTTTTAATTTTTAAAACTATCTGTTACAATTTTTTAAATTGTTGCGATTTTTTGGAATATCAGCAAAGATCAATGGCTATACATCGTTACTGCGACCTCGAAGGAGCAATGTCTGGACTATAAGAAAATCTATAAAATAAAAAGCAAAAAACAAATGTATAAAATTATGTTCAGCATTTCAGAAATCTCAAATATCCTCAAGGTGTTTGAAATATATGTATATTCGGTTTGAACGAGAATAGAAGAACATTGTTCGCATCAACGAAATAAAAAACCATAGGATATATTTTATTCGTGAATGATCAAGAAGTACGGAAAACATTTGGTGCATGTGCTAAGTGATTGTTCTTGCTGTATTATCTCTGCAATTCAATGTTTCAAGTTTTAGTTTAATTTAGATTTGCTTACACAAGCGTGGTAAAGCGTTTAGAATCTAAAATACTCTCAGCAATTTTTATAAGACCCTCACTCAAAACTCAAGAATAGGAAAGAGTAAGAAGAACGAATTATTTTAAGCTGCTTCGATGACATACACTTAGCCTATGCTCTTACAATCAGTGATGTTAAGATGGTATTCCGATTGAGTATAACTCTTGCAAAAGCTATGTGCATAACATTAATCTGCTGGACATTTCATATTCAACTCGTATATATATATATGTCTATGATACGTATATTTATACTCGCGACAATTCATAATTGTTGAAAAGAAATATTACATTTTCATCTGTGAATTTTTGAATTTTTTCTCACTGATTGTCGTATTTGGTATTTTTGTTACTCATACTTGAAACAAGCACAACAACAAAAGAACGTGAAGAAGCGAAAAAAAAAATAAAAAAGGCATACTTTCGTTCTACATGCATCAGTATTGTATTGCACCATAGATGAGTTTATAGAAGAAAGGGAAGTATTTGTATTGACAAATTCGAAGGTCAAAATATAATCATGGCAGAGTAAGTATTAATGGAAATTAATTCGTTTTTACATATAATCAATTCTGAAAATCTTTGTTTTTCATTATAAAATAAAATCGACGATTGATTATTTACTTTTCTTTAGACGTTCTGTTAAATGTACATTTCATCATGTACCTTGTGAAGCTGTTGACTTAATATCTTCATCAATTGGAATTCATACAGTATACAGTGAAAACACAACACTAGCTTCTTGTTTATGCTCACCTTCAAAAGCAGATCAAATCCGTACAACATTTTCAAATTTTCTTATTCAATATCCACAAATTTGGTTGTCAATTAACTTACTAAAGAACCCAAATGTCACTTATTTTCATTTCGACACAAATATTGCCAATGAAATTCATGTTTCGTTTGGTTCTTTACTTTCGACTTCAACATTCTTAGTTCATGATACACCATTAAATGATAGAACTCAATGGACAATAAAATTTTCTAATGAACAAACATTGATGATCGAGTGTCAACCTAATCAAGAAACCGATTCTTTTATTCATTTAAACTTACCAATGAAATGTATTAACAAAAATATACTTGTCATTGATGGCAACCCTTATTCGCATATTATATTAAATATTGATACAATGACAACAGATGTACGAGAATATGATAATATCAAAAATGACAGGTACCTTAATAGAGCAAAAAAAAATTCACATGAACTTTGAAAGAAACTTTTGATTAATTAGGTTATATGGTAATCATCCAATTATTGAATCACTTAGTCGATGTAGTGAGATGCTCATACGTATTTCATCGAAAACTAATTTTGATCGATTTCTTGATTATCTTCATAATAAATATCAATGTGAAATCTTTTATACAATCATATCAATTGAACATAATGCATGTGAACAATGGGAAAAAATTGAATTTAATTGGTATCCAGCAGCTAATGCTCTTTATGCTATATCAATGCTTCATTCATTAGGATATTTATTTGATGATAAATATTTAATAAATAAACAACTTCAAAGTATAATGGTTGATTTAGCTGAAGAAGATGAAAAACGTTTTTATCAATTAGCATTAAGAGCTTTTAATGAACTTCAAAAATGTCATTGGTTAGATTTAATTAGAATTTTTAATCGAAATCAATTAGATCGCATTCAAATAGAAGTAATTAGGAAAAGAAAATTTTCATATGTATTTTTATATATTTCATTGTTTTCGTTTTTTTTTTTTTAGACAGAAGATAAATTTTGTTATGTAGGTGTTATTCATTTAACTCCAACTTGTCTTCATTTACAACCAAAAGAAAAAATTGAAAGACATCGTGCAATGCGTCTTAAACCTTTTCAAGATGAAAATAATTTTTGTTTGGTTTATTTAAAACCTGATCCATCGGACAAATATTTAAATAATAATACTGATGTTTTGACATATTTTCAAACAATATTCGAATCTGGTATTGAATTTGGTAGAAATCATTATCATTTATTTGGCTCATCAAATTCACAATTAAGAGAACATTCATTTTGGTTTATTAAAGCGTCGACATTAGATGATATTGATGAAAAACGATTACAATTTGGTCAATTAAATCAAATCACAAATTTGAGTACATACATAACTGGATTAGATTTATGGTTTAGTAAAAGTTCTTCAACAGGTGTAAGGAAATATAATTAGATGAATAAAAACTATGTTGTTCTCTTTTAGATTAAACTTATTTATTGTCAAGATGAACAAGAATTTGATAAACGTATACAACAAGGAGAAATATGTGTCTTGAATATTGATGATATCAAACGAAATGGTTATTGTTTTACTAATGGAAATGGATTTATTTCAAAAGGCTTAGCTAAACTTGTTGTTGAAATACTATCATCATGTCCACAAGATTTTCAAGAAGATGTATGTTTTGCTTTTTCAGTACCAAAGTTTTTGTGAAGTCTTTTGATATTTAATGAGATTTGAAATCCATGTAACACGTTTGTTCGCACTATCGTTAGTTGATTATCGATGCAGTGCATATTGTATTGAACAGTCTACGAATGATCTCTTCTTTTAATATGCACTTGAGTTAGTGGATACCTTATTTTATCCTGTTGATTCAAGTTCGTGACAAATCCATATGAAGTTAAACGAATTGAGTTACAAACATAAGCTATTGAAAACCTACTAAGAACATGAAGTGAGAGTATGGGTCTTTTCTTTACAGATCTCAATGCCTACAATACAAATTTCCACTCTTCATATGAAAGGCTCAAATATCGAAATTTCTACTGTTGTTAGACTCGAATTCCTAGGCTCAACTGTTGGTGTAGCCATGTAATGGTTATTAAATAGTTCTGAGTGTTTCAACAAAAATAAACATGTCTTTCTCGAAATATTCAATGTTGAAAAAAGCAATGATCTATCATAGAAGAACACTACAATCGAGTCTAGCTCGAAATCGAAATATTTTAACAAAGATATTTTCTTTTTCACTGAAACTTTCAGTGATCATCTAATGATTATCAAGTGTACGTATAGGCAAAATTTTAGATTGAAACCCTTATTTTCGGGATTTTTTGGTAATTTCTTCTTAGAAACAATATGATTAAATCGACCATAATTTTTTATCAGCAGACCACAGGTCTGAATTTTTTTAAAATTGATCGAGATCTAATTGCAGTCGTAATATGGAGTCGAGTGGTATCTGACAGTTGGATATGTTCCCTAGTTAGCATTCGTTGTACATATAAAAGTTATGTTAATATTGTATTATATGATTGACAAGACTTCAGTAATTTTATTCTTATTAAGATTTTACCATCTGCTTATCAAATTCAAATGGCTGGATGTAAAGGTCTTCTTATCGTCGATTCTCAATCAACATTTGAACAATTTTATATTAAAATTCGTCCATCTATGAAAATATTTGAATGTAATGATTGGACTTTAGATATTTATGAATATAGTCAATTGAGTATACTTAATTAATAACTTTTCTTTTCTCATAAAGAAAAAGATTTGTTTTTTTTTTTTGTTAGAACCTGCTCGACTAAATAATCAAATTATTATACTTATGTCAGATCTTGGTGTACCAAATGAAACATTTCTTCGTCTTCAAAAACAATGGTTCGACAAAAAACCAACACGTTTTACGAATTCTGAGTAAATATCAAATGTTTATTAAATATTAAGTCATTTTTTGGGTATATTTTTCAGTGATTTATTGAAGAATAAAATTCCACTACCAGTTAATGAATGTCGATATATGTATGGTTGTGCATTTGAAAGTCAACTTAAACCTGGAACATGTTTTATTCGTTATCAAGTACTAAATGAAAATGGTAAATCTTTACCAAATCCCCAATTTCAATGTGTGCAAGGACGAGTACTTGTAACAAAAAATCCTTGGTAAGACTCTTCTTGTTTTATTTTTCATTATTTCAAAATGAGACAAAAAGTTTTTTTTTTAGTCCACATGCTGGTGATATGCTTGTATTAATAGCTGTTGATATACTTGATTTATATAATTTAAAAGATGTTATTGTTTTTTCCAGTGAAGGTGATCGTAAGTAGAGAATTCTTTTTATGTTATCAAATAAATATAATATCTAGGACCTGATTTCAATAAAATTGCTGGGTCAAATTTAGACGGTGATAAATATTTTGTAAGTTATTTTTTTTTTAAATTAATAGTTTTATTTTTATCTCATATCAAAAAGGTTTATTGGGGTGAAGAATTTCAATTAAAGTATTCAGTATCTCCACTTGATTATCTAGTAGAAGAAAAGATTAAACATCCAACACCAATATGTGCTCAAGATGTTATTAAATATTATCTTACAATAATAGGTACACCTAGTTTTGGTGAAATATATAATTTACATGCGATGATTGTTGATCAAAATATTGAAAATCATCAACAACGTACTTGTCAAAAATTAGCTATTGAATTAGCTCGAATGTTGTCATTAGCAAGTGAATTTAATTTGATTTTTTTTTGATTTATTTAATATGATTTGTTTGTGTCCTTTTAAGGTGATTCAAGTAAAACAGGTTATATTATTAATAAAGAACGTATTCAACAAATATGTGAAACATATGGAAAAAAATATCCTGACTTTTTAATGAAATATGATAAACAAAATTATAAATCTCAATCGATTATTGGAATACTTTATCGTAATGCTATATTTTATAAAAATGGAAACATTACTGAACTTAATAATGTATTTGCACAAATCAATGTTGATGATAAAACTTTATGAATATCAATTCCAATACTCTTGAGTTCTTTAGTAAGAAGCATTTAATATAATCCTTATGGGACTAAAATATGAAACACGATGTAACTGTGGTTGCCAATCACAGGAGATTGCTTTATTCTTTCGATTTTCGAATACATATCTTCACCATCTTTTTACTTAACCATCCAGAAATGCAATAAGGAAATCTTTCATACATTATAACGAGACGTTATTGATGTACGATCGAAGATCGTATAATTATCAACACCATCTATCACAGTCTATTGCGAGAGAGAGGAGTAGGTTCAAATGTCTATCTGCATACTTTGATACTTGTTGTCGATCGTGTTTCGCAAAAATGGTTGATTTTCTTTGGATTTATATGATTTCAATGTTTTAGGAATTCAATAATACGTTACAAATACTGAATTCAGGAAACGACAAAGCAAGTTATAGATCTATTGATGAGTCGATTTGTCAAGGCAATTGATGCAATAATATTCACCATTTAATGAAAACTTTTCATTGGCAATGTGAGTTTCATCTTCGTGAAAATTAAATCAAACAAGAAAAAGAAAATAATGCTTTTTTTATGTTGTGATATGAATTTGCAAGATTCTTAAACTTTATCTCTCAATAGTCTATTAACAGTTTCAATAAAAACCTCAATAAAACTTTTTTGAATTTCATCAAGATTATGTATACACTTCTAACAATTTTGACATGATTTCTTCTTAGTACAGAGTCAGTTATGCCTCATATTTATACCACTTATACTAGGTAGGGATTAGTCAAAAATATAGCATGTCCTAAGTTTGTGTGTACAAATAGATCTTACCACTCATTTATATCTACATAATACATTCGATGTTCTTCGACTTCCATTCGATACTCATAGTTGTGTCTGTTTATTCCGATCTTTGCAATAAATGTTATTTGGTTACATTTTGCATCAATTTAGCCTAAAAGAGCTCAAAATCAATAAAATAGCATTCACTTCATGGACTGATATAAGCAGACGCAACTATGGAAATCGAATTTCTCTTACAGTCACAGACAAACAGTAAGATTTATGTGATGTACATATGAGGCCTACCTGTCCATAGACAACGAAAAAATCCAAAAATGTCTATTTTTCTTTACTTTTGGATTATCCTGTGCATTCCAGTAAGAAGTATTTCAAGAAATACTTCACTCTGCGACTTTTTTTTCATACATATGGAACGGATTTTTTATTTATTGTAAAGAATCAAAAACATTCTGAGGTATGTTCTTTTCTTTATCAGTAATTTATATTCAATGTAATGCCAATCATCAAATACGTTTTCGCTTACAAGTTAGCTTTTATGTGTGGTTTACATAAGAGAGAACATCTCGATCGATTATGAAAAACTAAACAGATCGGTCTACTATTCATGTTAACCGTAAATTCATTCACTAAAATTCGTGACTACGTATTTTGATATTTTTGTTCTCTTCATTACCAACAAAAGAAGTTTCAAGCAAAACTTTTTTTTAACAATTTTTTGATGATTTTATCTTAATTGAGTAATTCGCAGATATAAAGTGCTAAACACACCAAGAACGTGTACAATAGTTCAAAACAAAAAAAAAATAATAATAAAACAAAATATTATGAGGTCGTTTGCGCTGTTGTATTTGCTGCCTCTTCAGCTTGGGCCGTTTCTCCAGTATCAACTGTTGTCTTCTCTCCAGTCTAAAAAAGAATTAGAAGTTTTAACAATAAAAAAAAAGGCAAACTCCTTATCGTCAAAAAAACTAACCGCAGCAGCTTTTCGATCTCGTTTTCTTTTTTCTTCTTCAACGATTTTCCAAAAGTCTTTTTCAGCTTTTTCAATAGGATCAGCTTCTTTCAATTCCGATTCACCAGTTCCACCATCAGTCGTTGTTTTTTCAGTTTTCTTGAACATATCAAAAGAATAAATCAAAAAACAAAACAATTAAAAAAAATTTTACCTCGCCATGTGCTGATTTTCCTCGAGCATCTCGTCTTGCTCGACCTCGAGCTTCAAGAATTTTTGCACGTCGTGTTTCACGATCAAACATCTAATTTATTCAATAAAACAAGAATTTACTGTATTCTAAAACACTTACTCCATTTACTAAACTCTTTTCACTTTTTCCTTGTATACATAAATTATCCGATACTTCAACTAGTGTTACTGTACCATTCTGTGAACCACAAGCAACAAGACGACCATGAGGCTCTTGTACACGTAAACAATAAAGTGCTTCATCAACAACTTGAATTGATAAAGTTGGTTCATTTTGTTTAAATAATATATCCCAAACATCCAATGTACCTATTTTTACAAAATAAAAAAAAAATAAATAAATATTTTTTTTTCTATGAGAAAGCCATTTTGTTTACCATCCATTTTAGTTGTAAAAAATATAGAAGATCGTGTCGGTGACCATTGACCATCGGTAAGAGCATGCACACTTGGTCTAGAAGAATTAAAAAATAAGTCCTGCTTTTTTTTTCACCTAGTTTAATAAGAAAAGGATGATATTACTTTGTCCACATAATACAATCGTCTCGCATTTCTTCTGACCAAATACGTACAGTCCAATCGCCAACAGATAAAAAATTTTTTAAAAAATTTGGATGACGTTGAAGTGCATAAACAGGACCCCAATGTCCTGGAAAAACGTTACCGATCTTTTCAGCATCATTTTTTCCTTTTCGATTACATGATACAATTCGACCTTGTTCTGTTCCGACCATAAATTTCGTTGGCTATATGATTAAAATATTCGATTGAAATTTTCAAAACAAAAATTTCAACTTACAATTGTTGATTCATATTCTAATGACATAGCACCAAGAGCATTTTCTAATCGACCTTTTTTTTCAATATCTAATATTAATGTTTCAACCGGTTCTGATAGTTTTTTTGTGTCCCACCAAAGAATCTAAATAAAAAACTATCAATATAAGAAGGCTCTATAAAAAAAATCTCTTATTTTACTTTGCCATCAGTCGAAGCAGAAAAAAATTCTGTGCCTGATTTTGATTGTAACCATACTGTTTTATAAGCTGGATCACGATGGCTATTTTCAATAAGTGATTGTTCAACAGCTGTACTACCCTTTCGTGTATCAAATATACCTATTCAATAATATATATTTAATTGAATTGATAGAAGTTTAACACTTACAAACTTGGCCATTATAACAACCTCCAACAAGTTGATGTGTATCTTTTGGATTAAACTCAACACAAACAAGTGGAGATAGTGGTTTTAAACTAAGATCAGGTTTTGTTGGATTTTCTATTTTGCATTCGAAAATGAATAAATAAATTTCAACTTATGCTTTATTTTTACTAACCAGTATCCCAGATGTATGAATCGATAAATGAATCATTTGTACCAGATTGAAATTCAAGATTACAATATGAAACAGCTAATTTTCGTGCTCCATCAGCATACCATGAAATATGATTTGCTGTACGACGAGCATTATGTGGATCACTAAAGATTTGAAATTTCAATACAACAACACATTCAACTATACTTTTACCGATAGATATTAACGGTTTTAGCATAAGGTGCTTCTTCAACAACATCAGGTTCTAAATTTTGAAAATAATTTTCATAAATATCAACAGCATTATTTTGTTTGATTGTATGTTCAACTAACTAAATCAATATATTTATATATTATCAATTAAAAAAAAAAGAACAAAAAAGTAAATATTTACTTGTCCAAGAGATAACAAGGATCTAGTGAAACCATCTTCTTTCTCTGTTTTCTTTCGAAAACGTGATGTTTGATCAGGTTCAAGTGGATTTATATCTTTTGGCCAACCACCTTCAACATGATTTATACCTCGATTTTCTGTTTCAAATCGAACTGTATTCACCTGTAGTTATCAATAGATTTATTTACAAAAAAAAAATAGAATGAACGAAATTCAATTTTGAAATTTATACCCAATGTTCAGAAAATTCTCGCACGTTTTGTATAGCAAGTTCAACAGGATTACGAGAAATATATTCACGAGCTAGTTCAGGATTGGGTGGAATATCAGCAATTAATTCGACAGGTCGATCTGAAAAAATTACTTGACGACCAAATTCTGATCGTTTCTTTGTGTAAACATATTGAATATCCATTATTAATGTAAACTTGTTGAAAAAAAGTGATCAAACAACGAAATGAAAACAATACCATCAACATCAATTTTGCATTTTAATCAACAGAGCAACCACCTCTTTACTTGTAACATTTCTAACAAGATGTCGTTGTAGAACATTTGATTGACAATTCTTTTGTTTCATTAGTTTTTCGGTCGTATTTTGC